ATTGATATCTCCCATCTGACGGAATTATCAGTCACTTTTCTGTTCGGAGAATCTATAGCGCAGTTGCTCAGTCGAATGTCTACACTAAAAAGTCTATCTGTTGAATATGTTAGACTCAATTACGAGCTCGCGGAATCTTTTGAGGAAGCTCCACTGCAGATAGACCAAGAACTTCATTACTCGTCGCTTTCGAGGTTGCGAATTCCAAATACACAATTTGCTTCACAAACGTGGAGTTTCCTTCGTTTGCCGTGTTTGACGCACTTGCAGATTGATTTGAGTCGACAATCCATTGACAGTCCTTTCTTTCTAATGCTTGCTGCTTCACGGTGCAGACTACATACTTTACAAGTGCGGATGTCATCGAGTCATCTAAAGCAGGCGCTACTGGATTTTATCGCTCTACATCCTACTCTAATCAATCTCAGCCTTGACATATCTTCTGCCGAAGTCCTACGGGCTTTTGCCGAGCACCTTAAAATGAAGGACACTGGGGACATTGCACCTAACCTGCGCGCATTGGAATTGGGTTGTAAATACCGCCCAGACCAGATCACACATGCGTCACTGTGTCCTATCATCTGTGAGATGATTGAATCTCGATGCACGATATTGAAATCTTCTGCAGGAAACCCAATAGGAATATCTGGTTTGCAGGCTTTGACTTTGGTGTTGAATTACCGAAACTCATATATTATTGTTGATCATTTCATTCATACACATCTTTCCTCCTTCGAAGAGGCTGGGTTGCAGGTAGATTTGCAAGGATGTGACACCTTGACCAACTCGTATGATTTTTGACGCGATTTTGCAGGGCAAAATCACTTGTACTACTAGTGTAACTCAGGATAACTGTCCGGGACCATTACTCTATGTAACTATTATATCCACTGTGTACGTCGAGGGTATTTAAAAATTGATCATAATTACCTGGTTTCGTTGTTTGAGATTGAGAATTTCAGGCCTTTTCGGCTTCGAGATAGACAATTCTTTGTTGCCTTTGAGCTTCTCGAGTAATTTTTGTTCCCGATAGAGGCTCTTAAATGCGACATGTTATATCACTGTGATTCACTAGTCGACTGTGTACTCACCCAAGGCGTATAAACATGAGGCGGGAGAATTTCCACCAAGTCTAATAATGGAACGTTCACTAGAACGGCTCGAATTTCTTCAATAAGATCTCGAACATCATGCCTAATAGCAAACTGTAGGAGCCGCATCCTTTTGACGTGGAGATCCTGTTTCAGGGTGAAGTTGGTGTTGAAATCGGGATCTGTAGGATACAGGATTTCTCTAGTAGACGAGCAAATTGAATGAGGAATCCATTCGTCGATTCAACAGTAAAAGCCATAGCCATACCTCATGTGAAGCCTACATGCACAAATCATCCCAAAGAACTGATACTTTTCCGCCGCTTCCACGAGAAGCATGAACGTATCGAAATCTAACTCCTTTATTGAAGGAAATGGGCGGGGATAGATGCAGGTAAACAGAATCTCTAATACAGCTGCTGTCTCGATGAGGTATACAGCCTCCTTGAGATCCGAGGGTGTCTCTGCAGGGGGAAACCCTCCCGTAGCACATTCAAGATTTTTCTTGTGGAGGTAAAAGTCGATGTTGTCGGAAGATCGTATGACAACATCAGCATCACGTGCGTTGACTGTGGAATTCATCTAGGAGATCAGCCTCAAGCTTCGAATACTGAGCTAGGGTGCGCACAATGGTCGCTTGTCCGATTTGGCTTATCGTCGACTACGTATGTGTTCAAGTGAGATGGATTTGCCATTGCTCAGGTGGCGAAACAAATAACGTCGGATCGTCTAGAATAAAGCAAAAGAGAGAGAAACTGAACACAGCGGATTTTCAGTTCAGACACGATTTAACCAGCATGCAAATCCAGGGTTCACATGTTTGAGTGATCCGAGAAAAGGAGACATGGGTAACGATCCCTCGGGAAGAGATATCAGTCAGCTACTTCAGCTGGCAAGAGAAGGACAGCGAACTCGGCGGAATTCGTAGCGGGAGCCAGATCCGAGAAGTCGAGAAGAGTTAGTAACATACATTCACCGCAAACTACTGTCCTCTGACTTCCTCAGATGAATTCTCGGGAGGAACCCAGGGGTCCAGGGGAGGAATTGGAAGGGACCAGACTATCTAATGCCGATCTAAGTGGGTAGAAATTGCATTGAACATAACGCGACACAGACGGAGCGTCAGCGTCCAACAATAGCCAGGTCATAAAGTTTGGAAAGAGGCGGATATAGATACCGGAGTCAGCCGCCGTGTCGCGCGCAGTCACGTGGGTGTGTAAATCGCGCCCTCGGACCGTCGACGCGGTTGAATCAATTTCAATTTGCTACCGCTTCCGCCAAAGGGATGTACAACGACGAGATCATCGCAGACAGTGAGGATGAAGATGAGCTTTTTGGTCCCTATCGTGCAGGTGCGTCGTTTGAGTATCTTGAGAGCTCAATTACTGACCTTTTTTTCTGTATCCCTTAGTTCCCGCCGTTGATTCAACTACCACAATTACCACTATCTCTGCTGATTCAACTTCGAAATCGGCTGCTGAAGCGTCGACAATATCTGAATTCACCACAAGTAAAGCCACTGCTAGTGATACTATCTCCAACCTTTCTTTGGTTGCTCCCAATGCTCTTGCTAATCCCAGTATCACGTCCGTTACCACCACCACTGCCAATACTTCCCGACCTCGGCCTAAGCCCAAGCCTATTGTGAAGAAGCCTAACATATCTACCACGGGTGATAGCCCTGGTAAAGCTTCATCCTCTACGAGCAATATCGAAATGTTTGATATGACGCTGAGCATTGCTGATCGTGCCAAGATGCGAAAACGCGGCAACGACAATCGAGATAGTAGTTCCTCCTCTGGACCTGGATTTAGGCCTGACATTATTGAACTATCATCTTCTGAAGACGAGCTAGCTTTACCTGCTCCAAAGAAACTCAAGAAAACAGTGAAAAAGACAACTGAAAAGTTTACTTCTTCAACAAGAAATGTTATCAGACTCGATTCACCAAAATCCGACCTCATTTCATCATCATTTTCTTTACCAACAGTGACTTCTCCTGTTCTCCCTCGGAATGGTAACAGAAATCGAGCTTCTTCCATACTTCCTCCTTCTGATCCACCACAGTCGACTCCTTCAGACATCTTTGATCTTCCTGCAATTGAAATTCTTCCTAATCCTTCTTCCTCTGCATCGGCGTCGGCGTCGTATGTTTCGCGAGCTCACAGACCTCATGTAGACATGAGTACGGACTTGGATGCACTGCCTCCTCCTCTGCCGTTCTTCGCAGACCCTTCTTCATCCCCGTTCATGATGGACAAGAATTCCAATACCAATCTCGACGCAGGAAACCCGCATACAGTGGAAGGCGCGTCGAAAATCCTACATTCTGTCTTGATGCCCCCGCCACCTATTCCACCTTCGCCTGGTTTACCGCCTACCGCTCAACCCAGGGCGAAGAAACCAGGAACAAAGAGGAAGAAAATGAGTGATGAAGACGAGTTTATGCTAGACACTGAAGATTGGGCTGATACTGAGCCGAAAGGTAAAGGGAAGAAAGCGAGATCGAAGCGAAAAGAGAAGGCTCAAGTATGGAACCTTATATCTACTCTGTCCCAACTCATCGTTGACGGTCTCTTATGTCACAGGACAAAAGGACGACGTCGAAAGAGAAGGGTAAGTCGTCTCCGCAAGCTAAAGGAAAGGGGAAAGAGAAGGAAGCTCCACCTCAAGACTCGTTCAAAAGTCGCGAATTACTTGAAGGAGAGGATGATGATGACAGAGACATCAACGAGCTGCTTATGGCTACCATAACGACTGCTACTACTTCAAACGCCTTTGTGCTTGTACCACAACTTCATCGTGGTTCACCTGGGAGCAAACGAGATCGAAATTCTTCCGATTTCGATAGACAGGGCGATGGTTTGGCTGAAGAGAATGAAGGACAGATGCAAGTTCCACGCAAGAAGATGCGTAGGAGCGACGATGGCAACCTTCATAGTGCTGCGAACGCGGATGACGAGATGGTCGAGTTGCATTTGGATTCGGGAATGGACATATACGTTGATTCGAGTAAGTCGGCTTCAAGTGCGAAGAAGGGGAGGAACACGAGAGTGGTAATGTCTGAAGACGAAGATGAAGATCAGGTCGTGGAGGAGGAGAAGGTAGCTGCGACGACAAAATTGAAAGCAAAGCCAACGAAATCAAAGACGAAGCCGAAATCGAAATCCAGTGCTAATAAGAGAGTGGTTAGTGAGGACGAAGACGAAGACAACGACAATGGACCCAGATTGAGTGCTAAAGTAGGGTTTTCTCGTTTGATCATATAATACTTTCTAACTCATCTCGCAGGAGAACATTTTACCTATACCGCAAACACCTACACATATAACTGACAGCTCATCGAAAGCAACGATCACACCAGAAACTGGAAAACAACTCAAATACCCTACGCTAGCCTCAAGATACACAATCGCGCCGAAATCTGCTCGCAAATCAACACCAATGTCCGACCTTATCCGACGAGTCAACTCGATGCCGAATTCTCAATTTAAGAGTCCAATGCCAAAAGGCGCACGTGATGTTACTACACCTACGTACTCACCGTACCTCAAATCCTCTCGTTCATTCCTTTCCAAAATCGCACCTCTCCATCCAAACAGACGTACACCACCACCACTTCCTCCTGCTCCGCCTCCCCGGAAAAAGTCGCGGAAGGAGATAGAATGGGAGAAGAAGGATAAAGAGGAGAGGGAGGAGTGGGAGGAGAGGTGGGAGGAAGAGCTCGTAGAGAGGGTTGGTGGAATGGGAGAGTGGTTGAGCATGGGGGAAGAGGCGAGGAAGGCAATGAAGAGGGCAAAGAGGGATAGAGAGTTGGGTCTTGGTGGGTGGGAGGAGTAGGTAATATATATATATTACAAGATACCTAATAGTCATATAATAATCTCACTTACAAGGGCAAAACTTAATGCCCGCCTAGCTCAATCGGATAGAGCGTCAGACTTTTAAAACAGGGCATCTGAAGGCTGCGAGTTCGACCCTCGCGGTGGGCTATCGTTGTACCTTTTTTTTGCCGAAGTATACATCCATAGATTAATTCCGTACACTTCGAAACTTCATGTTCTACATACACATTTTATGTGGATAGATACATCTTAACAATTGCATTTCAGACATCTTGATGCGTCTTATGATGTACTGCCACTATTTCGACTCTGTGTTGTCCATCCTATTTATACGAGGGGTTTCCAGTGGGCAAGTTTCGCGTACAGTACAATTATTCATCGGTACCGTAACCGTATCCTTGAGATCCTTGCGACAACCCCAATGACATCGTCAATAGCGTTCATCGAACTGAGTACGCGGTCACCAACTGACTATGTCAAGGACTGGTTGGTTAGGAGCCTTCGGAGTGAGAGTCGGGATATGAGTTAGGGATCGATCTGTTTAGACAGCCTAGATATGTAGACGGCTTACAAAATCCGAGTCGCCTGCTCGTAGAAGACCGGACAACGAGAAACGAGCAGAGCAAAAGAATGTTCGTCAGTCATTGGTTTTGAGAAATGACAAAAAGAATTTCTCACTTCCTCCCTTCCCACATCCCATACCCATCCGCTCACTTTCGTCCCACGCACAATGAGAGGATGTGTTCGAAGAAAGTTGACTTCAGATTTGAGAGACGCCAACAGTGGGTCTTCTTCTTTTTCTGATTTGACGGAAGAAACACCCGGCCATTCCAAGAAATCCATCTCATCTACCATCCGTTCAACCATTTTCTCATCACCACTTTTCAAACCGTCAGTGATCAGACTGGTCAAGTTTGGTTTCGAGAACGTAGCCATCCCACATCCGGTATGGTGATAGACGGCAATTTCTCGAGTTCCGAGAAGACGTTGTGAGATGAGGAGTGAACGGAGTGCGTCTCGACTGAGGGGAAAAAAAGGAACTTAGTAGGAATAAAGAGATGGAATGAAGAGAAGACCTACGCCATTCCACCCGCGTTCCTGATTATATGTGCTTCCCCCATTTTGATTCCTAGTTGAGCGAAGGGGCTTTTTCATCAAATTTGCAAGAGCACGTATTCGTTTTTATTTTTTCCGTGAAGGTGCACAACCAGAAAGACCGATGATGAATTGGGAGATGAAAGAGTAAAAGAGAGGAGGTAACGGTTGTTAGTCATGTCAGAAAGACGAAGAAATAAGATAACACTCACTTGATCCGCGCGTCCATGCAAGTTACTAGAGCATAGTCGATTAATCAATTACGATCAATATAGTGGAGGATAAAAGACAAATATCAGAGGGTTCCAATGGTACACAGCTGAAAAATGCATGAAACCCAATAAAAAAACAGACCTATAGCCAACTTCTTCGTCGGGGGCAGAGCAATCGCAGGTTTATCTTCCGCTAACGTGGTATTCCTGGACAAAGTATCCTTACCACTGCTCGAGCTTGAGCAATGCCTGACTGCTCCTCCACCTCCCGTAAACAGCTCTGAAGACCTAGCGGTACTGACCATATTAAGGATGTTACTGTTACATGCGTAGAGCGAATACGCGAGATGTCTAAAAGGCATGACTTTCTGTTGCGATGAAGGTTTTGGGTGATGGAAGATCACCTTTTGAAATTTAAGCGCCTTTCCCTCACGTGGCCCTAACCCCTAGTCCGGAAATTTTATGGATTACAGTTTCATACTTAGTTAACTGAGAATGCTTAGTGGAGTTCGTATGTAATAAGTTGCATTGGGCCTGCTTCTGGGTAAAATTTCCAAATCTCGACAGACTGAATACAGGGCTCACAATTTCGCATCGGAAAGAGCCCCAGTGGTTGATGGGGACCATAATAAAAATCAGACTCATTCTAAGACTTAGATTTCCCAATCACAAGCATCTAAAAACTCTGATTCTATTCCGTAGAGCAAGCACATCTTATGTGTTTAATAGCAAATTTACATACTGTTGGGACTGGTCTTAAATCTTGTGACAATAATTGGGGGCGAAGGTGTCCAAACTGGGAAAGTCCATCAATAAGAAAGGTGCGGCATGTCCGGGACCGCCAGCGGCAAACGCTGGCTATCTCTTCTTCTAACATTCAACACTTGACCATTATTCTCTCGTCAAACACAGAATATTTACTGCTTTCCTGCATTGACCGACGACCCAGTCATTGAAGCTCTGTCATTCCAAAGACCCCGCGCAGCGCACGTCTCACACGTTTCGTGGACCGATAGGACTAGGCCCCGAGCTAGTAGAAGACTAGGGCATTACAATCGGCAGTATCAAATATGGACCACATATACATATCCTCAATGCTAGGAACACTTAAAGATCAAGCCAAAGACGCCTTGTGGGCTCTTTCAGCCGGCTGGTCGAGCTGTGTAATGTGTCAGCAGGAAGCTAGAGTTAAGATTAATGGAAGAACTTGTGAGTGTTCTCTTATGTTAGGCGAAGTGGGCTGGTCGGTTTTGTCTTCCCATGTAGCCTGTTGATATGCTGGGTTGATGTCGAGTGTTGGTTAGATTTCTTCGTCGGAATTCCATTCTTCTTCCATGTCCTCTTCAAGAACGCCTTCCCATTTGACTGACTGACTATTTTTTCTCTCTCTCTTTTTGGAATCTAAACCTCTACCTTAACACGTCTCCGATCAACCCGCACTAACATCAATGGCCTAATTTCCATCGAAAAACACTCCAAAAATACAGTCAAAATCATAAAAGTCCTCGGTGAAGGTGGTTTCTCGTTTGTATATCTAGCTCAAGATGAAGGGAGCGGAGTAAGTCTTCGCACCGTTATGTACAACCGTTCAAATACCTGAGAGATGCTTACGAGTTGTCCATTTGCAGCGTCAATTCGCTCTCAAAAAAATCCGCTGTCCAACTGGTAATGACGGTGTCAAGGAAGCTATGCGCGAAGTCGAGGCCTACCGTCGATTTCGACATCCAAATATCATACGCATACTCGACTCAGCTGTGGTACAGGATGAAGACGGAGAAGGCAAAGTGGTGTATTTGTTCTTGCCACTGTATCAGGTATACTATCATATCTTCGGGTTCCTTGTACCATTTTTTTGATTGTAGAAGGCTGCGCTAAGAAATATTTTTCTTCTTTGTTTTCTAGCGAGGCAATATTCAAGACCTCATCAATGCCCATCTCATCAATCACTCCCACTTTTCCGAGCTCGAAATGATCAAGTTATTCAAAGGGACGTGTGAGGCTGTGAGAGCCATGCATGAGTGGAGGCCTACTAAAGGGGCGAAAGGTACTAGGGGCACTCAGAGCGGCACACAGAGAAACAGAACAGATTCAATTGACGTATTGAACGAAAACACGCCACATTCACAGACGCAAATGCAATCGAATGGTTCACAAAATGCAAGAAGACAATCCAACGCAAACGGTTCCGACGATGAGGACGACGATCACAGATTCCCCGAACCAGAAGGCGATGCTGAAGGCGGTTACTCCTACGGTCCTTCATCATCGTCTAGGGCTCAGCCCTCGCGAAGTGGTCCTGGGTCGTTGCCGTTGATCAATCGCCGGGGGGAGGAAGAAGGATTAATGAGAGGAAATGTAGACAACGGAGGTGGAGAGGTATTGTTTGATGGGGATGAGGATGTTGCGGGGATAGGTTTGAATTTTCGTGTCTTTGCTTAGCTTTCGGCGATTCTGACTGCAATTTGTGTTATGGTTTTCGCAGATGGCGAAGGTGGAATAGGCCAACAGGGTGAGATTGTTCCTTATGCGCATAGAGATATTAAACCTGGGTAAGTCCCTTGCCCTCTCTTGATTTCATCTGCTTCCTTCCTCGCCTTCTCTTTGTGTCGTCGTCCTTAAGGTGACCTACCTTACTTTCTAGGAATGTAATGATTTCCGACGAGGGTCGACCAATCCTCATGGATTTTGGATCAGCGATGCGAGCGAGGATAAAGATAGAAAATCGCTCAATGGCACTGTATCAGCAGGTGATATGTTTTTTCTTTCGAACCATAGTAGCGGAATCTGTGTCACTTACGCTTTTTCTTCCTCATTTAATCAGGACATTGCCGCTGAACAATCGACAATGGCATACCGTGCACCAGAGCTGTTTGATGTCAAGACCGGGACAATGTTAGATGAGAAGGTCGACATTTGGGTATTTGTTTTGTTCCTTACATCATCTCAATTTGTAAATCTCACCCTCGTACTGAGTCCCTCGGTTGTCTCCTGTTCGCTATGGCCTACTCTCACTCTCCCTTCGAGAACACCCAAATAACCGAACAGGGTGGGTCTATCGCCATGGCCGTCCTCAATGCTCAATATAAGCATCCGCGAGGGAGTGAAGGAAGGTACTCGAATGGGTTGAAGGAGATGATCGACAGAATGTTGAAGGTGGATCCGGTTGAAAGACCGGGGGTTGCGGAGGTGCTTAGGATGTGTGAGAGTGTTGAGAGGAGACTGAGGTAGGACTGTAGGAAACAGCTCTTTGTTTAGTACTTCGGTTTTGGTTCTAGGCTCACACTGTATGGCATTCGTCTAATAGGCAAAGGGCGGACCTCTTGATGGCTGCCCGCCTAGCTCAATCGGATAGAGCGTCAGACTCTTAATCGTCCAAGCAATCTGAAGGCTGCGAGTTCGACCCTCGCGGTGGGCTATTACGGAGGTGAAGGAGAATTTTTGATCAGATCCTTGCAAAGCATCGTAGGTCGTCGTCTAATCACAATTCGAAATCCTTGGCTTTGAACTCCGGTTCTGTCCATCAAGGCAAATTTAAAGAGTACAGCAGTTACAATAGGAAATTGTTTTCACATTTTTCTGATCATCTTAGGCTTCCTTTATTATTTAATGTGGTTGAATGGGAACAGAAGACCGGTGTAAAATAGCTGCGCAGTGTCAGAACGACTCCGTGTAGGATAGCAACCCTCGGTACTGACGAAATATGTATGCCAAGTCTGTAGGACATCCTTCCCGACCACATACACTTTAAAGCTTCCCAGAGTACTATTTAACGATCCATTTGATGGGACAGTCAAGATATGAATCTGAATCACAGGTCGTTCCTTCATTCAGCCATGAGTAGAGTCCTTGAGGATTGAGACCACAAGGAGGATTTTCAAGGAAAGACATCCCTTGAATGCGATCTTTGACCTTGAAAGCAATATCCTTCATAAATCTGCTGGTACTGATGGTATCGGCACATATTCTTTATTTTACTGCAGGAAGAATTGAAATACGATAGCACGCAATTTGGTCGCGGCATGCACACCACACAATAAATTAACGCGGTATGGTATGTCAGTATCTTCGACGGTGACGACTAGTGACAACTAGTGCGGGAGATCACGCATCTACGAGTGAGTATTCACCTTGATCGTGAGTGGGATATACTTCTAGCAAGTCTCTTTCAGCGCTTTCTACACAACACAACACCTTTGCCGGTCAGAGGAATTTGTCTTTGTCCTCACTCGATAACCACATATTTGACTTTGCCCCCTTCCGAGCTACCTTACTTCTTGAAACCTTCAACGACCTTACCCGTTAATCGCCATGCGTTTCAATATTGTTCTTGAATTCTTTGCCGTTGTAATCAGCAGTGCTCGTTGATGTGAGTATCCTGTTCGATAGAGTTTGACATTTTATGTTCGGAATTCTAAGTTACAATGCCGTCGTCGAAGCTTGCGCCACTTCTTCTCATCGCGAGTATGAACTCCGCGAGGTTGAAGAGAGCTATCGGGGTCAACGTCTACTACGCTTGTGGCACCCAGATTTTGAACGCTCGTAGCTCAGAAATCGACGCTTAACCTTCGGCCTCACCTCTGTCGACCTTAGATTCTATCGAGGCCTTCGCAGCGTCTCATTCTAGCATCTCTAATTAGAGTTCCTAATCAACTAACCATCAGAGTTACCTTCGCCAATGATCTTACTTCCGACTCGAACAACCCCAAACGCGCCAAAGTTAAATCCGACGCGAAGGCGGCTGTTCAGTCACTGTTCAACGCCGCTGCGAAGAGTTTGAACCGGGAATGAAAGATTTTGGAAGTTACTTTACATCCACATCCAACGAGGTCATTTACGGGGGAACTTGACCAGGGCATGCATTCAGAGGTTCGAATGGAGAACTCTTCAAGCACAACCACTTGACACTCTATAGCACAAAGGTATGTACCTAGTTACATCCATGAAGACTTTGATCTCATTCCCCTGCAGTGAAACATCGGTCTCCCAGCAGCGCTTCCTTAAGCAACTTGGCATGTCATTAATCTGAGTAGAGTAGTTTTTGGGTCGAAAGAGTCGGGTGGAAGCTGAATAGACGAATGAAACGAGGGTCTTGTGCTTCCTTGTGCCCTCGGACCTCGGATATACTTTTGAGCAGATCTTTAGTTTCTGTGACAGCGGGCAACGACGAGCAACGGCAAGTCCAGAGGTAAATTGGATTTTTCTGGGCATCCCAGTAACGTCAATGGCACTTGTTGATCTCGGGTATACCTTCGTTTCTCCATAATGTTGAAGACAAAGGTCGGAAATGAAAGCCAGAAGCGTGTACGGTTTTCCCTATAACTTCCAGGGTTAGGTATTAGATATCAAAAATAGTGAAGGACATGAAATATTTCCTTTCATTCTGTTTCTTCTGACCAGGAAATTTTCTCGCTATAGCGAGCCGAAGCAATATCAAAATCAAGATAGTCAAATTCGGGAAGAATCTGTGTACTATACAACAAATTAGTGACAACTCGAAGATGATTAAGCAAATACCAGATATTGGTGCAAAAGAGAATGTATGGATTGTCGATATTTTGAATACAGACTAACCTCTGCGGTGACCTTCAAGCCTAGTAATTGAATAATATCATGAATTTGAAAGGTTCTTCCCGAGCATGATGAAATCAAGGATGGCTGGAGAGGTGAAGAACATGACAGTTCTATGCTTGGTCCCGAGTATCGTTGGAGTTGGGTTCGAACATATCTATTCATCTCGTGCGCGAGGTGTTCCTTCATCCTATGGTCTGCACTGATATATGCATTGGATCTGAGAACTGGCAGTGCTAGATCATGCAAGTGAAGAGACAGTTGAAAATCGTCGAGTTTTAGGAAGACATGACCAACGTACTTTGGTATAAGGATTGAATATTTGAAATGTTGCGCTTCGACAAGAGTAGATCTTTTGTATAAACTATATCAGCAATGTATCGAGAAACACAAGTGCGGGAGTACAATCTGCCACGCACAGATTGAAGGCAAGCTCTCGTACAAGGTAGCATATGGGCAGAGAATGAATGAATCCTTTATGTACTCACCTTAGGACATGGCCCGGTCGCAGCTTGTGTGAAAGGAAAAGGGTATAAAAGGTGACAAAGGTTTGAGGAGAATCTCCAGCTTCTGGCAAGTCTCCTAGCACTTACACAACACACTACAACTCCCTTTGCCGGTCAAAGGAATTTGTCTTCGTCCTCACTTGACAACCAAAAACCTCTCTATCCAGCTCGAGTCCATCCGCGAGCTCCTCCGAACTCCTACACACAACTTTTTATTTGACCTAACCCGTCAGTTCGCCATGCGTTTCAATATTGCCTGTTTTATTCTTGGGCTTTTCACTGCCGCCTCTGCAGTTCCGATTGCTGTAAGTGTTGTAATCCATTCAAACAACTTCTGGTGAGACTGATCGTTTGGATTTCTAGGTTGAAAATAGCAACGGCGCCGTCGAAGCTCGCGCTCCATCCTCCGACAGCGGATACGACCTCCGCGAGCTTGGGGGAGCTATTGGCGTCAACGTTTACCACGCCCGCGGCACCCAGATCTTCAATTCCCGTGGGGAAGAGATCGACGCTCGAGAGACCTTCGGCCTCACCTCTGCTGACCTTGAGTCCCGGGAAGCCTTCGTCGCTGCCCTCTCCGATCTAACCAGGAGAGCCGGCAGCAAGAACAAAGTGACCATTCAGGTCACATTCACCGGAGATCTTTCTTCTGATTCAAACAACCCCACCCGTGCCAAAACCCAGTCCGACGCGAAAAAGGCCGTGCAGTCCTTGCTCAATGCCGCCGCGAAGAGCTTGAATTTGGTTGGAAAGACAATTGCCGTTATTTTCTTGAACGACTTCCACGAGAGTCGGTCAGAAACGACGAATCATGTCACTTTTCAGTTTGAGGAGGCTGTTTGTGAAGGAGTCTGTACAGGACATGCCTTCGGAGGTTCGAAGGGGGACATCTTTAACCACGAGGGTGAGACAATCTACACTAAACGGGTACGTTCCATAATTCCTGGGATTTCTGTTCTGCTTTGGTCTGACGGTCTTTCCCCACTCACAGTAAAAATTTCGATCTTGTGGCATTGCTTTGTCGCTTGATAATTAGCTATCCAGAGTTGTGTAGTATCGGAGTAAATGTAGAGATGTCAAATGAAACGACGATTCGTGCTATCTTACCCTTTTGTTGTGGCCCTGGTCAGAGCGGAAGGGCAGGTTCTGTTTGAGGAAACCCTGGCGTGACTTCGTCCTTAGTCAACCGCCATATGTTGAGTTTTTGCTGCATGTTCACTATGTTCAATGAGGGTCCTTGCGAATCACAAAGCCCTGTTTACGTTCCACGAAATTAACCACGAGTTCAAGGCCGCCGCTGAAAGACCTGTTATTAATGCAGAATGTTTTTACACAGATTTTGAGCGTTTGAAACCTGATGGATAGGTCTATAAGTACTAAACGACAATGACATCGACACCATTCGACGTACATGAGTCATGAAAAAAACTCTGTCAATCGGCTAGTAGAGAGTGGTGTCTCATTCAATATCCAAGCCCAAATCCGTCTACCGCTAAACCAGTCTGCCACAATATCGATCTGCATCAATGCAATTTGACAACCCTAAGCTTAGCTAGCCTACTAATTCCCTATATCCCTACGTCTGCGCTTCTTCCTCGGCTGTCCCGAATCCGATTTTGATTTCAATTCGGATACTAATACTGCATTATCATCGGAATTACTGATGCCTTTCAGAGCCTTTACTGACTTCGTAGGCTTGGTGCCGGTTTGATCCTTTGACTTTCTCGATTTAAAGGCAAAGTCCAGTTCGACAGCAGTCGATATGGAGGACCTATTATTCTTCTTTTTCGCCTTACTCGCCGTCTGCTTCTTGTGTACCTCCACCTCGCTTTCCGCCGACATATGAATAGATTTGGAATGGGAAAGAGACAACAACGCAGGAGCAGCGGCCCCACCCTCCGGTTGGTCCCCCGATCGTGGCTTTGGCTTTGTAACGCTTCCTTCCCTGCGACCGTCTACGTGATCGTCGTTCCGATACGCACTATCAAGTGCATTTACGAGACTGACAGCGATAGGATCATCCATCAAGTCGGCGGACTCTGACGGTTTAGCATTTGCAGGTATAATATGTTTCGAGGCCTTTGAGGGTTTCGCGGATTTTGGTTGATTAGATTTACCAAAAGGAGAACGAACTGCATGGTCAAGGTGAATTTTTGTGACAGCTTCTAGAGAAGGCTTCGGAGTGGTAGCAGATGTTTTACCAGAAAGTTTCAACGATTTCGGAGTCGTGGAAACCGCTGGAAGTTCGTGATCTCGAGTGGAGGGAGATTTAATAGTAGTAGTAGCCTCCTTCACCATTGCCGCCTTCTGTTTCCATTTTGCCTTTCGCTCGCGGAGTTTT